TGAAGGAACTATAAAACCTGTACAAAGTCAGTAGCATCAGTTGATTCATCCAAAGCTCATTCATCCAAACTCAATAATATATATTTTCCTTTTGAAGTATTGCATGAAGTTGTTCTGTTAAGTTGAAGGCTAATTCATGCTGACAATCAGCTATGGTTCTCCTTGAAAGAGGCAGTTGTTTGTACATTGAAACGTTATTGGGGTCTGAGCATCCTACAACTTCGACAATGCATTCTTTCACAATTTCTACAACACTGAATGGCTTCCTTTCCTCCCCCAATATACAAGCTACTTTATATACTGCGTCAGTGGCATTATGTGCGGGTTTTATTTCTGCTTGAAAGAATCATCTTTGCTTTCCCTTTAAATTTCTGCAATACAACCTTTCACACCTCTCCCTCTAATTTAAAATATTTATGGTCCTTATGAGTGTTATAATGCTGATGAACGTTGAATTTCTTTTTCTTTTTTTTTTTTCAATGTAATCGGCTTATTGAAGAGCACTGAATTTCTTTAATGTTGATACTGCAATATCACAAAGCAAGCAAATCATCTTATATTTAACAGAAACAAGATAATATAGCAATTCCCAATCCTCATTTCAAAAAACCTATTTTCTTCCTTCAGTATTCTCTTGGTCTCCTTTGACATGATGGGCTGTTAAGCAGACAGAATTAAAAAATACTGTCGAGCTGTGCAACTATTCACAAATTCCACTTCAAAAAGGAATACAGTGCATGGCCAGGTGCGGTGGCTCACGCCTGTAATCCCTAGCACTCTGGGAGGCCAAGGCAGACAGATTGCTACAGGCGCATGCCTGTAGTCCCAGTTACTCGGGAGGATGAGGCAGTAGGATCGCTTGAGCCCAGGAGTTTGAGGTTGCTGTGAGCTAGGCTGACGCCATGGCACTCACTATAGCCTGGGCAACAAAGCGAGACTGTCTCAAAAACAAACAAAAATAAAAGAAACACAGTGCATCATCCACAAAAGCTGGTAACAGACTGGTGTACTTGACCCCCTAAACTCTTACCAACCAGCCTCAAGCAGTAGTGGTGCCAGTCAGGTGAAGGAAGTTAGAATTAAATCATAAGCGTAGTGGCCATCAATTTAGCTCTCATGGCTTACTAATGCTTTAATTGTGTGGTCAATCTGGGAGGATTATTTTGTTGAAACTTAATTTATTCTTTGGTATTTTAAATATGTTCATTTTAAAAATAAAATATAAAAGGTGAATAAAAATGTATTAATAAAAATAAAACAATTTGTTCTACAAAATTTGGATTCAGTCAAAAGGACACACTTAAGGACCCAGAAGGCCACATATGGCCTTAAGACTGAAGGTTCCCCACCCCTGATTTAAATACTGCCTTGAAGCATTACAACCTTTTTTTTTTTACTCTAGCCAACTGGAATGCAAATCTCTGAAGTGCACTGCATACTCTTCTACCATTTTATGCTAGACTTAACTTACACCTTTCTCTTGAATAATCATGGTCACCATTTTTTTATGCATACCATTCTGATCATAATATTATACCAATTAGTATATATTGATTCCCTCTGAGCCTATTAATATATGAGGATGATTTTCTCCTTTTTAAAAAGACCCTTGCCTCCATTTTGAGTTGTTTCTTTTCCTAGTTTTTATGTCCTTTTTTGCAATCAGTTACTATATCAATTTTAATCTGCTATGGAATCAGAAAAATAGATCAACAAGCTTATTAGAGAATTGAATATAAAAAGAAAATAGGTTTAGCTTGAACCCTCTCCTAAGAATAAAATGTCTTTTGTTACTTATATCTTGGCAGCTCAGAGATCTTTTATATTTACTGCTTTGTTCTTGGCTATGTTCCAAATGGCTAAATTCCAGTAAGATGAGGTGCTACTACATGCTCAAAGAACCGAACCCATCTAGGGTCGCCCAATGCCATACAAGTTTACTGCTCTTCAAAAATACTCTAACCAGGCCGGGCGCGGTGGCTCACGCCTGTAATCCTAGCACTTTGGGAGGCCGAGGCGGGCGGATTGCTCAAGGTCAGGAGTTCGAAACCAGCCTGAGCGAGACCCCGTCTCTACCAAAAATAGAAACAAATTAATTGACCAACTAAAAATATATATAGAAAAAATTAGCCGGGCATGGTGGCGCATGCCTGTAGTCCCAGCTACTCGGGAGGCTGAGGCAGTAGGATCGCTGAGCCCCGGAGATTGAGGTTGCTGTGAGCCAGGCTGACGCCACGGCACTCACTCTAGCCTGGGCAACAAAGTGAGACTCTGTCTCAAAAAAAAAAAAAAAAAAAAATACTCTAACCAATTTGTAAAAGCCAAGAACCACTGGGTAGTTAGGGAAAACTTGGACAACCTTCCCTTTTCACAATATTCACATCCCATTTGTGTCTAGAAATACTAAACAGAACCTAATTTTCCAATATTTAGCTAGAAGCCCCTGACAAACTAAACTGCATAATTTTGTTGTTGTTGTTTTTGAGACAGGGTCTTGCTACCTGTTGCCCAGGTTGGAGTACAGTGGTACAATCATAACTTACTATAACCTCAAACTCCTGGGCTCAAGCGATCTTCCTTCCTCAGCTGGGATAGGCTCATGTCAATAAGCCCACCTAATTTTTAATTTTTTTAGAGACAGGGTCTTGCTCTTGCTCAAGCTGGTCTCAAACTCCTGGCCTCAGGCAATCCTCCCCCCTCAGCCTCCCAAAGTGCTAGGATTATAGGTGTGAGCTACCAGGCCCAGCCAAACTGCATGATTCAGAAATCATTCTTATACAGCCAATTGAAACACTGTAAAGAACCTTCATACCAGAATACCAGTAAGCTACAAGGAGCAGAAGGAATGGGGTAGTAAATAGCACAAAAAGGATCACAGTAAAAATCAGAAGAAACTGTAGCCTTACACTGAAGAAGAATAAAAGGAAAGAGAGGGGTGGAGGAGAGGGAGGGTAGGAAAGGGGAGTGGAAGGGAAAGAAAAGAGAAGCAGAAGAAACATTTTAAACATCTCCAACTTGCAAGGAATAACAAAAGAGGATATTAGGCCGGGTGAGGTGAGGTGGCTCACGCCTGTAATCCTAGCACTCTGGGAGGCCAAGGTGGGTAGACTGCTCAAGGTCAGGAGTTCAAAACCAGCCTGAGCTAGAGCAAGACCCTGTCTCTACTAAAAACAGAAAGAAATTAATTGGCCAACTAAAAATATATACAAAAAATTAGCTGGGCATGGTGGCGCATGCCTATAGTCCCAGTTACTCAGGAGGCTGAGGCAGGAGGATCGCCTAAGCCCAGGAGTTTGAGTTGCTGTGAGCTAGGCAGATGCCAATGCACTCTATCTCACTCTATACCAGGTGACAGAGTGAGACTCTGTCTCAAAAAAATAAATAAATAAATAAGTTCTATTCTTCATTATTATATAACTCCTAACTCGCTAAGGCCTCAAGCAAATATGTCCTATTTTTCTATCATAGTTTCATATTTAAAATGGTATCAGAAAAAATTATCATTGATCAGTGATATGATCTATCAAACCAATGTAGAAGAACTAAGAACATTAGAAGAACTAAGAATACTAACAATTTCTAGTCTAAATAAGAGATATTATATTTAATACTAAAAAATTATTTTAAATTATGAATATAGACCTCAATTTAACATTAGGAGAAAATAACTTACCTAAACTCCCAGGGGTTAAAGATCATTTGTTGTAGTCAACTGACAATTCTCATGAGCCTATTATGTGCCAATCAATCAATATACAAGACGCTGAGATACAAAGATGAATGGCTGCTCACCTTAAGGAGCTCACCACCTAGTAGAAAGTGGCTGATTTTTGTAAAAGTGTCTCTAGGCAATAGAAACCTGATCAAGGTTCTGAGGTAACAGAGGAAGGAGTGATTGCCTAAGAAAAAGTATAGAAAGCTTCAATAATTAGGCAACTCCAGAGCTGAGTTTGTAAAGCTAAGCGTTCACAAGAAAAAGAAAAAAAAAAAAGAGGGAGTTGGGGATGGAAAAGAGTTCACAAGCTATGATTTGGGTGGTAGTTACACAACCATATATGTATGTAAAATTTCATGGAGCTATTCATAAAATTAATGTACTTTACATGCTTCAGTATATTTGTTTACCTCAAAAAAGACAACAAAGTTCATCAGAGAGCATGAGTAAGTCATTTTAGATAGACTGAACAATGTATACACAAGTATAAAGGCAAGAATAGCTTGGTGTGATGCTTTAATTTGGTATTGAGTGAGAAGAGGCTAGAGAAGGAAACAGAGGCCAGATAATGAAGGGCCTTCTATGTCTTGGTGGCAACAGGGAAACATGAAAGGGTTTCAAGACTAGTGATACAATCACATTTGCATCAACTACCCAGTCATCACTGCACATAAGTGGTGATGCTGTATTCAGAAAGAATATCTAGAAAGCTACATAAAAAGTACAAGCAAGAGATAATCAGGGGGAAGAAACTTAAGTTTTCTTAAGTGCCAGGGACTATGTACTTCATATATACTATCTTATTAAATCCTTAAAACAATCCTATGAGATTGGTATAATCACACTTTTATAAATGTAGAAACTGAGGCTCAGAGACATTTATAAAATGTTTCTACCATATCATGCCACTGAGGGTAGAATGGATTTGAAAGATATCTGGAAGTAAAATCAACAGGTGTTTATGATTATCTGGATATAGTTTATAGTTTTGGGGTGGGGACAATGAGAAAAAAGACAGACAAATATATGCACACCCACAAGTTAGAAACAACTCTCAGATGTCTACAAAACACACTTTTTACAGTACTTAGCCCTATGCCTAAATAATCAATTTTCAGTGTAGGTAAGAAGTTTCTATTCACCTGAATTTCTTCTTTCATTAAATATGAGAGGCCCACTTCCTCTTCGCCCTCTCCCAATTCTGAGCCTGCTTCATCTTCATCCTCATCTTCTTCCTCCTCTTCCTCCTCCTCCTCCTCATATCCTTCAGGTGGACCAGCTTCATCTTCCTCTTCATCTTCATCATCGTCATCTCCATCTTTAAAAATATTTTAAAAGATGAGCAAATGGCTGGGCAAATGTTTCTGGCTAGCATGTTGATCCTTTCTACCTTGTCTAATCACTTCAAACTATCAAGCCAATGGTTAGAAAAGCATCTCAGGGTGATTTCTTTTAAGATTTCCATTTTACAACATTCAAAGTTACTGCTTGTGACGCATAGTTTTCTAAGTACTGACATTTATCCAATGTATAGATTTTCATCAAAACATTACTTTTTATCATTTTAATAGCAAAAAATTTTTCACCCAATAATAACAAGCAGTGTCCCATTACTAACAACTATTCCACATCTGATCTGTTAGTCAGATCAGATATGGAATATTTAGAATATTAGAAGATTTAGAATATATATCTAAAAATATGTATTCATTAATTCTGGAATATCTTTCAGCACCTTAAAAAGAAACTCCACAATTAGCAGCAGTTACTCCCCATTCTCTTCTCCCCCCTGTGCCTGGCAACCAATAATCTACTTTCTATCTCTATGAATTTGCCTATTCTGAACTTTTCATATAAATGAAATCAAACAATATGAGGACTTTTGTGTCAGGCTTCTTTTACTTGGTTTGGTGAGATGCTTTAATTTTGTATTGACGAAGAAGAGGCTGGAGAAGGAAACAGAGGCCAAGTAATGAAGGGCCTTGTATGTCTTGGTGGCAACAGGGAAACCTGCAAGGTTTTCAAGAAGACTAGTGATATGATCACATTTGCTTCAAACTACCCAGGTAGGATTGCAGAGAATATTCCTAAGTGAAGATGCTGTAATGAACACTTTCAGTGTTCACTGATATAGCATATATCACTATTTCATCTTTATGGTAGAATAATATTACATAGCAATGATAAATCATATTTCTTAATCCATTCATCAGTTGATAGACACTTGGGCCGTTTCTACCTATTATGAATGGTTCTTTTTCAAAAAAGCATTATTTAGGAAATTGCCTTTGGGTTGTTTCTATTTATGGGCTATTATGAATGGTTCTTTTTTTTAAAAAAAGCATTATTTAGGAAGTTGCCACTTTTACTGGGTGGTGGTTACACAAGTTTATACAGATGTAAAATTTAATGAAACTTCATGTTATAATAATCATTAAGTTCCATGAAACTTAGAAATCTGAAAGAAGAAATACAGGCTAGAGTTGTGGGTTTTTAAATTTTTCTTGTCTTACTAATACCTTGTTGTGGCTTTTCTCACACCTAAATCTCTAAGCCCAATCTAATTTGCACAGTTAGAGTGGAGGCTATAATTATGACACATTTATGAGTATTAAGAATGATTACCCTCATCATCCTCCTCTTCAGAGTCTGGCGCTTCATTATCCTCCTGATCAAATCCATCTAAGTATGTGATTTGCTGCAGCAGTTCAAAAATACTTTCTCTATAATCTTCCAGGTTTGTGATCTCACAGTTAAACAAGTCAAGACTTTTCAAATTTTTAAGATTTTGCTGGAAAAGTAAAGTTAATACTTACATTCAAGATTTAAAATATCATCCTATTTCTTTTTAATTCATTATCCAGAAAATATATTTTTTAAATAGAGAATGATTTTTGGATTTTTAGAATTTTAAGATTATATCAAACACAGCCAACTCTCTTAATTAGCCCCTGGCATATAAACTCCAAAAGAGTAAGAACTTAGTTTTGTTCACTGTTGCATCTCCAGCACCTGTCTTAGTGCCTTACTTAAAGGAGGGACCCAACATATTTTTGTTGACTGAATCGGTACATAATTAGGCAACAACAATACCCTAGTCAACTTAAATCCACAAACAAGCTTATTTTCAACAATTTCAACCTCCTCTCAATCTTTTAAAAATCAGAGCAACAATTTTCAGAGTTTCATTTTTTCCTTTTCTTTCCTCACATTGAGAAATAATGGGGCAAATAATAAAATAACTCAAAAAATAATCAAGAGGGAAAAAGTTAAGAAAATGCCAGAAATTTAAAAACCTGATAGTCAACTCCTGAAGTTGATAATACAAATACATTTCTCACTGATTTAAAAATTCACCTGAATATTTTACTCTAAAGGAAAAGAAAGCAGTAACAGTCTAGATCACAACATAAGAAATTGACAAGTTTCAAGAGTTAAATAGAAATTAAAAAGATAAGATACAGGCCAGGTTGGCCGGGCGCGGTGGCTCAGCCTATAATCCCAGCTCTCTGCGAGGCCTAGGCAGGCAGATTGCTCAAGGTCAGGAGTTCGAAACCAGCCTGAGCGAGAGCGAGACCCCATCTCTACTATAAATAGAAAGAAATTAATTGGCCAACTATATGTAGAAAAAATTAGCCAGGCATGGTGGCACATGCCTGTAGTCCCAGCTACTCAGGAGGCTGAGGCAGGAGGATTGCTTGAGCCCATGAGTTGGAGGTTGCTGTGAGCTAGGCTGACGCCACAGCCCTCACTCTTGCCTGGGCAGCAAAGTGAGGCTCTGTCTCAAAAAAAAAAAAAAAAAAAAAGATACAGGCCAGGTGAAGTGGCTCACACCTGTAACCTAGCAGGTGTTTGGGAGGCTAGCTGGGAGGAAAAATTGCTTGAGGCCAGGAGTTCAAGACCAGCCTGAGCAATAACAAGACCTCATCTCTACAAAAAAATAGAAAAATTAGCTAGGCATAGCTGTAGTCCCAGCTACTCAGGAGGCTGAGGCAGGATTATCACTTGAGCTCAGGAGTTTGAGACTGCAGTGAGCTATGATGACGCCACTGCACTCTAGCCCCGGCTACAGAGCAAGACTCTGTCTTAAAAAAAAAAAAAAAAAGATACAAATCTCACAAAATTTAACAACAACAAAAAAACAAGTCCGCAAATAAGACTGTTCCACTTACCAGAGCTTCTACTGTACTGAGATCCTTGATTTTGTTTCCACTCAGATTGAGGTAGGTAAGATTTGGACATTTCTCTGCCAGGACTTCCAAGCCTCCAGAAATTATATTGTCACTAAGCTCCAACTATATATTCAACATGAGAGTAAAATAAAAAATGGTGAAGGCATCAGATCAAAGATTTTAAAAGTATAACAACTGGAAGAAGAGAAACATCTGTCATTCTCTCTGGCTTCAGGAGACTGTCACTATAAATCATTAATTTCCAAATTTCCATTTACATCTGCCACATAATATATTAGAACTCTTATATTATATAATGGGCTCCCATCCCAGCTTTGGTTCCAGTTGTATAACATTTGGATTTTATGATTCAGAAAAAAATATTTGGCAGATATTAAATCTAAATTCATGTTATAAAGCAATTCCATTATTAAATTTAAATTTCTAAAAGCAATATTAGAGCTGATGCCAAGATCCTATATAATCCTTTTTCTTATCTTTAGAAACTTAAAAACTTCTAATTAACAGGCAGAATGGTCATTTCATTTGGCCAAAAATGAGCCATATTAAGAATAGCCTTTAGCATTGAAATCATGATGCTTGCACGCTAATGCCAACTTACTTTTCGAAGTTTATTTAAGCTTGGAAGCCGGGCAAGTGAACTTAGTTCCACGTTAGCCATACTCAGAAACTCTAGTTCTTTAAAAGTATCATTCAGGCCTTCAATTTCCCCATTGACACACAGGCAATTATCAAGAACCAATTCTGTCACCTGTAAGAGGGAACACATTAATGATTCTTTAGTTTGCAATCTGTTTAGCAATAGACCTGGGTCTTATAAAAATGTGAATATTAAAACCACCAATCTCAAGTTTGATTGCCCATTGGTTATAAAAAAAACAAAAACCCACCAATCTTCTCACACAGATCTGCTTGATTTCCCCCCCAAAATGGATATACAATCTAAAGTCATCACTATAAGCAATCTTTTAAATTTAAGCTTGGACTAAGAAGTTCAATGCCTGCTTCAAATCACTGAGGCATAAAAAACAAAACTTTAGGCCGGGCGCTGTGGCTCACGCCTGTAATCCTAGCTCTTGGGAGGCCGAGGCGGGCGGATTGCTCAAGGTCAGGAGTTCAAAACCAGCCTGAGCGAGACCCCGTCTCTACTATAAATAGAAAGAAATTAATTGGCCAACTGATATATATATATAAAAATTAGCCGGGCATGGTGGCGCATGCCTGTAGTCCCAGCTACCCGGGAGGCTGAGGCAGAAGGATCACTGGAGCCCAGGAGTTTGAGGTTGCTGTGAGCTAGGCTGACGCCACGGCACTCACTCTAGCCCGGGCAACAAAGTGAGACTCTGTCTCAAAAAAAAAAAAAAAAACAAAACTTTGGGCCGGGCTCCTGCCTGTAATCCTAGCACATTGGGAGGCCAAAGCAGAAGGATCACCTGAGGACAAGAGGCTAACACCATCCTCAGCAGGACAAGACCCCACAGCTACAAAAAAACAGAAAAATCAGCTGGGCATAGAGTCTCATGGCTGTAGTCCCAGCTACTCAGGAGGCTGAGGCGGGAAGATCACTTGAGCCCAGGAATTTGAGGTTGCAGTGAGCTATGATGATGCTGTTGCACTCTAGCTGGGTTGACAGAATGAGACGCTATCTCAAAACAAAAACAACAACAAACACACCAAAACTTTGAAAAAGTTCCATGTGAAACCTGTTTCTGATAATGATAAGGACACTGGGCATATACATTCAACACTGGGCATATATTTATGCAGTGAGGGGATATGTGGGTTATTGGGAAAGGATTAAAGTAAGCTCCCCTAAAATTTAATAAGAGAGAAAACTCTTGAGTCACACATTTTATAAAAAATAAAAAAAGAGAAAAAACTATTTAATCACTTTTTCAGTTTAAACCCACTTATCTTTGGTTAATTAGACAACTAAGATAAATACTATCATAACTCAATAAAACCTTGTTACCCTTCATGAAGAAATAAGCTCCTTCTGGAACAGCCCAGCTTTTGGGTGTTATTTGTTCCAACATCGAGGTCAAACACTATCACCCAGAACAATACATCCTTAACAAAATGTTATTTCTCCCTGTCACTCCGGTAGCTTTTCTGTGGACTCTTCCCCATTCTTAGAGGGAAATGGGCTGGATTCCCTATTAGGTCAGAGTTGTAGTAACAAAACTTCCTGGTGTTGGCCTAAATGGACTTAATCTTAAGGGGGAGGCAGGAGATCCTGTTCTCTATCTCCAATGCAAAAATATGTTTGGGGTATTTGAGAGCTAAAAATTAGCAACAAGGATGCCACCTTCTCTATGTGAATATGACTTTGATATAATTATTTCTGTGACCAGAGAGGACATCATGGCCTCACGTTTAAAGACAGGAAACCAAAACCCACACAAGAATGACTTGCCTAGGGTCACACAAGTAGTCGTGGCAGAGCTGTGCCTGACTCTAAGTCTTCCAACTCCCAGTTTAGCTTAGGGGTGAGAGGGCTACTAGATTTGGTATCAGAAAACCAGTTCTTCCACTTGAGTAAATCACTTCACTGCCCTGAGACTGTTTGCTAATTTGGATTCTAGAATACAATTCATCTTACAAGTGTGTACGGAGGAAGAAAGTAAATAACAAACGCGAAAAGTGCTCTGTAAACTGCCTATACAAATATAAGAGACCGTTATTATACCACAGCGGAAGAAGCTACAAAAAGGCAACGTCTCACACTCCCCAAAACTGGAAAGAAATTACGATCTCTAAGTAAAAGAATGCAGGAGGCGGAGATGTCCATTTTTCCAACCCAAGACATTAAAAAGTATCCTAAACTTGTGCTTCTGAGAGATGGCTTTTAAAGTTTCATCCTGTTTGTTTTTTCCTGAAGCCCCTAAGAATAAGCTCTAGAAACTTCAAGTTCTCTCTGGGATGACCCTGATAGTAAGCGACTGTTTCCTCCTCCCTGGCCCCTGCCAATTTCAGGAAAATAGAAGACTTAAAAAAAACAAAGTATGCGTGCCGAACGCGAAAGCCCAGACAGACGCAGATCCTGTATGCTGGTATGCACGGGCACCACCCCAGTTTAAATATATATATTATATATATATCTCCATGTCTTATCCTTAGATTCCAATTCTAGGGCTTATTTTAGAGACTTAAAAGGAGCAAGACTACGTCGGTTTCCTAGCGCGAGGCTCCTCGTTGGCCACGGGCCCCGCTCTCTCGACCTGCCGCTCCGACTGACGGGAAACCCCACACGGGGCGGGGACTCCCCAAGGAAAAAGGGGGTCGCCTCCCAGCCCGCGTTCCCCTCGCGCCTCCGCCCGGGGCGGGAGGGCTGGGTGAGGTCACGAAGGCGCCGGCGAAAAAGAGGCGGAAACATCTCCCGCCCGACCCCCGAAAAGTTGACCGCGACCCCGCCTCACGTGGCCCCTCCCAACTCCGTCTCTTTAACTAAAGCGACAGCAGCGAGAGCGCATCATTTAGTTTCGCCGAACCCATCTTTAAAGCACAAAACTACTGCGGCCCATTTGTTGAGTTTTTGTGAAACTGTCTCCAAGGGATCAAATTCAGAGTGGCGGCCACTACCACGCGACATGCTGAATATCGTCACACCGCAGGGAAAGAAGCGGATTATGCCTCACGTCCCCTCCCCACCTCCGGTCACTGCGACGAGTAACAAAACTCACCCGCTGTCCGAGAACCCGCCACTGACCCAGATTCCGCGGGCGGCGCGCGGCGCTTCCCGGGGGAGTGGGCGCAGCCGGCGCAGTACTCCGCTAGCGACCCCAGCCCGCGCGCGGCGCAACGTCGGCAGCCGGGGGCCTCGAGGCTGGCGGAGCCCACCCCCCACATACAAAAATAAGCGAGTTGGCAGCACTGCAGAAAAGTTGGACTAACTTCTCAGGCGGCGATGGCTGCGGCAGGGGCGAGTGAGACTGGGGGGTCGCGCCCACGCCGCCGGCCCCCAGGAGCAGGGACAACAGGAGCGAAGCGGCGGAGCGCCCGCACCACCCCGCTTCCCGCCCCCACGAGGCCAGGACGCCAGACTCGAAGCAAGCCGAAAGGGACTAAGCCCCCACGCACACACAAAAACGCCCCTAGAAACTTAAACCCTTCGCCATTTTAAGTAGAGAATTTTAATGATTTAAAATTAAACATTTTCCCCAACCCTAACCCCAGGTGGGGTTAACTTATTACCCTTCTCCACCCACCCACCCACCAGGACCACCACAAATCCGACCCTCAGAATGTAGGGCTGGTGGGGAAGGGGTGGGGGCTGAGTCATCTCACCTCCTCCGGAGCTCTGTTCCTTAACTCCAGGTTAATCCTCTTCTTCATCTCCATGTCCTCCTCCTGCTCTTCTGCTACTACTCTCCTCCCTTTCTTTTTCCTGCCTTTCCCACTACCCCCTACCCTAAAATTTGAAGAGATTCGGAAATGAATGAAAAGAAACGCAAATATAAACGCCCACTACCACCATATAGGTGTGGGGGAGAAAGAAGAGAATAGCAAATGGAGTCCAAGGAGTTGGGACTCTAACTCAGCTGCCCCCACCTCCTTGTCCACACACTAGCGCGCACACACATACACACACACACACATACACACACCCGCAGTTCCTTCCCCTTCAATGGCTGCTCAGAGACTGAGCCTCCATGACACGGCACCGCCAACCCCCTAGTCCACACTCCACCCACCTCCCAAACGTATTGGTTGATTCTTTAGCGTCACACTAGTCCATTGGGCTATGTAAATGCCTATCAGTCTTGATGGCGGACCTGGACCCGAAACTCTGTGTCTATTGGCTACGACCAAGCGCGCAGTTAACTCCGATAGGTCGAGGAGAGTGTATGTCCCGGCGAAACGATTTTGAATCCCAGTAGCCCCCCTCCTTTTCTTTGTGTGGTTGGCGCGCTTTCCCTCGGCGCTCGGACGGTTTTGATGCCTGTTGGGTTTGTTTTTTGTTTTGTGGGGGCTTTTTTTTACTCTGTTTTTAGTGTTAAAGGGAAGGAGAAAGCATCCTTCCGTGTCCAAGTCATCATGCACCAGCTCTTCTTTGCTGTTTCAAAGCACAGCCGTTGCTTTGCAGCCAAGGTGTACAGCAACGTGCGCATCACATCAAAAGGATGCCATCGTGGCACTTCCCTGCTGGGGTTAGGTTTCTCAAAGAGACTGACCTTCCGTGGTACAAAACCAGAGCCGAGATAAAGGTGGTACTTTAACTTCCACCATAAAAACTGAACAATTTTGAAAGCAGTTGGGTGAAGTATATAAGTTAGGGACCTTAAAATAAAACTATCTGGAGAAATTGTTACTGAGGTAATTGTTGCTGTAATAAACACTGAGACCTTGGCAAAACAACGTTGGCTTAATGAAAATCCGACATTGATTCGCATAGAAATGGCACAGCAATGTGTCTCCTTTCTAATTTCTCTTGGGTTGGTTTCCATGGAAATCTGTAGGTAAAATGTGCTTTTAAAAGTCTATCACTTCTAAGCCTTTTGGCTTAGATCAAGTGTAGTATCTGTTCTTATCAGTTTAATATCTGATACATCTCCTATCCAAGGACAATATATTAAATAGATTTGGGGAGCAGAAAAATGGAAGAGGAGCTTGCTCTGTCCAGTCCATGCATCGACCTGGTATTGCAGTACCTCCAGGAACAGTGCAGCCCCTCGGAGGATTAAAACTTGGTGTTTAAGGACAGAAGAAAAAAATCTGTCTATGTGTGATTAAAAGAGTGAGATAAAAATTTTTGTTTTTTTCCACCATAGAAAAGCTTTTTACAGCAATAAAAAAAAAAAAAAGTAAAAATTTTTGTTTTGAGAGTCTAACTTTTCTTAGTTTTTGCTTAAATTCTATCCTTCTTATTTCCTTACACCATTCCCAGGATAAATATCTAAAGAAATTTCAAGTGATTTGGGGAAGTGGGTGAATTAGTCCCACACCTCCAAGAGCTGAGTGCTTGTTACTTTTCCAGTTTCTCAGGTTAGAGATCTGGGCTCCTCATCACTCCACTGTCCCTCCTCCCTACACACAGAGACACTCAGCTCCTCAAATAGGCTTATTTTTAAAATGTAAGTATTTGGTATTTTGCATTTTAAATGCCTTAACAGAAACAAATGGTGATTATCTTCACAATGCTAAGTGTGTCCTTTGAATTCTCTGAAAAGGAGATCTTGTGAAGATAAAGACAAAGGGGACGAGGGAGAGCTTTTGGTATAAAACGGCATCTCTGAGGGGTCCAATTGGAAATTTAGTAAAGTTTTGTTTGTTTTAATGGAGGCTGAAGGAAGCCAGGATGATATGAAAACTGAACCAAAATACACTGAGGAACAGTTCAAGGAAGAGCTAAAAAGCAAGGGAAGAGGCCGGGCGCAGTGGCTCACGCCTGTAATCCTAGCTCTTGGGAGGCCGAGGCGGGCGGATTGCTCAAGGTCAGGAGTTCAAAACCAGCCTGAGCAAGAGCGAGACCCCGTCTCTACTATAAATAGAAAGAAATTAATTGGCCAACTGATATATCTATGTAAAAAATTAGCTGGGCATGGTGGCTCATGCTTGTAGTCCCAGCTACTCGGGAGGCTGAGGCAGCAGGATTGCTTGAGCCCAGGAGTTTGAGGTTGCTGTGAGCTAGGCTGACGCCATGGCACTCACTCTAGCCTGGGCAACAAAGCGAGACGCTGTCTCAAAAAAAAAAAAAAAAAAAAAAAGCAAGGGAAGGAAAAAAAAGAGCTAAAAAGACAGAAGCACACTTTAGTATCAGCCTAGGAATAAGTCCTGAGTTATGATCACTCTGGCCACTGCAGGATCTGGAATGAAATCCAAAAGAGAGTTCAGGAAAGGAGATTCAGATATAGAAGTTACTTGTATAAATGTGATAGTTGAAGCCATGAAAAGAAAATAAGACATCCATAGGGAATGTATATAATAAGATTATCAGGCAAAGGAGAGCAAAACATGGTTGGGGAGGAAAAGAGGATGGAGGGCTTGTCTGCCAGAGTATACTCGAGGAAACTGAGGAGTAGATAGAGAAGAAAGAAAAAAGTGTATGGAAGCCAAATAAGAGATGGAAAAGGTTATCATTGGAGTTAAATGATAGGGCTTCAAGGAAGAGATGATTACAGGAGTTAAATGGTATGCTGGAAATAATCAATGTAAGGAAAGGCTATGAATTCCTTTTGCCATTGGCTAGTGGCTGCAGAAAGTACACCATAGTAGCATGGACAGGGATTCACTAAAAGTAGGCCTTCCTCTCCACAACCATTATCCCCACCCTCATATCACTTCTCATCTGCATTACCTCAATATAATACCTTGAAACTTACCTTTTTCCAGTTTCAACCAAGAAGGCAGGATAAATAAGATACTAGGGAAGGAGAGAGTCCCCATAGCACAGGTGCACAGAAAGAAAAGTGCCTAGAAAAGGCTCAGATGAAGAATATTGGCAAGTTAGGATGGGTATATGAAGCTAAAATGAAGAGTAAAACAGTGAAATAAATATACTCAGGAGAAAAGCAAACTCATGAATTAGAACATATTTTAAGCCAAAATAATTAGGCAGGGTTTAAATGGTAGACTGAAGAGTAAGGTTAAGTAATCAGAAGGAGTGGAATGAGTGAGACAGTGAGTCAAAAAACTCCTTTAATACACCAATAAGAAGCATGCATCAGGATATTATCAAACTCAACTTGTCTTTAACATTCAAAAACTAAGTTCATCTTCTGCTATTGAATATCTTGTTTGAACCTCTAAATCCCACCTTCACCCTTCTCTTTCCTGCTCTGTAACCCAAAACTCACATTGACTATGTAAATTATTATGGCTTCCTGGATTTGGTTCTGATAAGAAATCAGAGTCGGGAGTAAAGAGAGGTTGGAGTATTTATTCCCCCAACTTCTTCTCTACCAGGTCCTTACAAGATGCCTAAGTTCTTCTACTGAAAGCCACAGATCTTGTTAGGACTGTGGTGGACACTAGAATGTACCACTCAGATTTTCCTTCAGGAATGAAAGACTTACTCCCCTAGCTGCCTCGAGTACTGCGAACGATGACCCTAAGCTGTCAGTTTTTGTAGGGGATTGCCTTGGCTGAATAAAATTGCCTTGCTCAAGGTTATACCTCCTTCTGGGGGAAGCCCACATACAATGACTGACAGACACAGAAGTATTAAGATCCAGTCTGCCCTTTTGCCCAAACTTAGACAAACTCTGAAGGGCCATCACAACTCCAGAGCACTCCGTGGGGTCGGCTGAGGCCTTTGTTAGGACTGTTATCGCTATTTAATTTCCCCCTCTGTTTAATCCTGCTTCTTTCTCCTCCCTTCCACTGGTATTGGTCCCAATATCCCTCAATAATAAAAATCCCGAATGGTATTTCTTTTCTTTTTTACTTTTTTTTTTTTTTTTTTGAGACAGTGTCTGACTCTGTTGCCTGGGCTAGAGTGTCGTGCTGTCAGCCTAATTCACAGCAACCTCCAACTCCTGGGCTCAAGCAATCCTCCTGCCTCAGCCTCCTGAGTAGCTGGGGCTACAGGTGAGCACCACCATGCCCAGCTAATTTTTTCTATTTTTAGTAGAGATGGGTATGGGGGAGGTCTCACTCTTGCTCAGGCTGGTCTCTAACTCCTGACCTCAAGTGATCCCCCTGCCTTAGCCTCCCAGAGTGCCAGGATTACAGGCGTCAACCCCTGTGCCTGGCCTGAATGGTATTTCCATCTCAGAGTTTGCTTCCCAAGGAACCCAACATGTGACAGTGGCTCTCGCCAA